AATTTTTCTGCTTTCCTTAATTTATTAATTTACAAAAATATTTATTAACTACCTCATGTACTACCAAAAGGGGTGTCAAAAAAGAATGCACTGTTTTTCGGAGGGGGGAGGGGGTACTTTTTAAGGGATGGGGGATACTACTCCCATCGCTCAGAAAGTGTAGGGGCCACTGATCCCCAGTCTCCCCTATTTTTATTTAGTCAATATTATATAAATTTCAAATCATAATTTTTCTTTTTTTAAAATAGAATTGATAAATAAAGTAAATTTTGCAAAAAATTGATAGAAAGCAAGTTTTCGCGAAGGAAATGATAGAATAGAATTTACATTAATACTTTCTAATAAAATAATAAAAAAATAATAATTAGCTAATTTATAAAATGATGAGGTTATGTAAAACTAAAAAATAGCCAGAAATCTAATTTAATTGTAAATATTATTTAAAAAAATCGCTAAAATATATTTAGAGACTATATAAAAAGATGTTTAATCAATAATGCTTTCAAATTAAGCTCAAGAGGTTAGAGGTGTTATTAAAAACTTCGATGTTTAAATGAAAGTGTCATTTTTAAAAAAAGTGAAAAACACATAAGGAAAAAAAACTTTTATCAATACATTATTTGAAACGTAAAATGAAAACGCTTCAATTTGTTGGCTCTATAAAATATAATATTAAATTTACCTTTTAGAAACCTAATAATTTTTGAAAATTAAATTAGTCTTACTAGCCGCCCGAGTATTTTTTTAAAATTTATGTGCGATTCCACCCTGCCAATATTTTAAAAAAAAACTATGACCCAAGTCTATTCGACACGATTTAGGTCGAGTCGGACATAATCTATTCTATGCCGTTACTATTTGCGGCCTTGTCTATTAGATATCATAATGAATAGGTTTTAAGTAGCTTACTGAAAAATTAAATGTTTTTCGGCTAGACTCAAAAATGTTTGGCCCAACCCGTAACATCTCTTGTCTGTTCTACCAAAAATTTGGTAAGATTCCTGGTCTGGCAGATATAATTTTTTGCGAAGGAAAAATCATAAATTTGTATTCGAAGTCTAAAAAAATTTACAATATTTTGAATAGAGATGGCGCGGAACTGAGTTTTTATTCACGACGCGCCCACAAATGTTTACACCAAAAGAAATTCACGCCAATTCCCGCCTTATGTTCACTATTTTTTAGCCCGAACTGCCCATTAAAGAAAGGTAAAGATTTTGATCACGCCCATCACGCCCGAAAATTTCATGGGTTATATTTATAATTTTATAGAGAAATAAAATCATCTACATATTTTTGTAGTAATTAAGAAATCACTAAACAAGCCACATTTATAAATCGGTATCAGGGTCAATTCGGCGCGGAAAATTCGGCGCATGACAATTCGGCGCGGCAACAATTCAGCGCGTATCTATTACAGTTGCAATTTATTATATATTACTTAGTATAAAAAAATAAGGATGATTAAATAGAAATCATTTTGAATTTTGGTCCTATTAATTATTTCTCCATATTTATTTTTACAAAAATCTCAATTTTATTTACTAAATGTGTAATATCAAAAAAAATTAACAACCAATATTTATACCTATTTCTTTGGTTGACCAATTTACCACATAAGATATGTTGATTAATAGCAAATGTTATGTAAGCCGAAATTTTGAAGAAAGAAAGAAAAAGAAAGGTTTGGACCTCTATCTCGAATCTTACATATTATTTTGGCTGGAATTTAAACCTACCGTTTTTAAAAATCCAGCCATGATCCAAAAAAAATCAAATTAAGACTGAATCATTTTTAGATTTATTAAAAATCCTTAAATTCTATTAATCCTTTTTAAAAAAAACATTATACTTAGGCTAATTTTTTCTATTATATAAATCAAAAATTAAATGTGTAATATCAAAAAAAATTAACAACCAATATTTATACCTATTTCTTTGGTTGACCAATTTATCACATAAGATATGTTGATTAGTAGTCAATGTTATGTAAACCGAGATTTTGGGTATATTATTTTTTTAAACTTTTATAATTTTATTTATTTTTTTTATTATCTAAAATTAGGCGTGAAAAGGGGATTTAAGATTTAACATTATAGTACTTATCAGGGGGGGGGGGGGGATATTTTGGGTCTATTTTTAAAAAACGGTTGATTAAGATTGTAGTTAAAATAATATATAAGATTAGAGATAGAGGTCAAATCTTTCTTTTTCTTTTTTCCTTCTATGCGCAAAATCTCCAGGCTTACATAATATTGGCTACTATTCAACATACCTTATAATGTAGTAAAATGGTCCATTTTATTTTTTTCGATATACATTTAGTAAATAAAATTGAGATTTTTGTAAAAATAAATATGGATAAATAATTAATAGGACCAACATTCAAAATGATTTATATTTAATCATCCTTATTTTTTTATTCTAAGTAATATATAATTAATTGCAACTGTAATAGATACGCGCTGAATTGTGGCCGCACCGAAATGACGCTGCGCTGAATTGACGTTGCGCTGAATTGTCGCCGCGCCGAATTGAAGTTGCGCTGAATTGTCGCCGCGCCGAATTGTCGTGCGCCGAATTTTCCGCGCCGAATTGACGTGGAACCTTATAAATCATAATCTTTATTTAAAGGATGAAAAATTTCAATATTTTTTTATCTTAGTTGCATTCGTCTTTCCTATAGTAAATGATTAATGGCTATAGGAATGGCTGGGGGTTTTACTGCTACTTTTTAGAAAAAAAAAAGATTCATTCAAGGGCATCAGTTTGGTTACGGTTCAATATGCAAAAAAATATAATAGTTACGGTTCAGTTATGGTTCTTAAGAAAAAATTTATAAAGGTTAATTACGATTTGAAATTTTTTTCTAAATTATTTTTATTGAAGCAACACCATCGTATAATGATTTTAATTATAAATATTATTTATTAAAATTTTTGCCATCACTTTAAGTTAATGATATTGTTTATTTATAAAATATTTGAAATCAATTTTTTTTATTATAAGTATCTTTGATTAATATATAAAAAAATAAATAAGAAAACTCATTTCTATATATATTATTTGAACCTATAAGTAATATATTTTCTAAAATAAGTGGATTCAAATTTGTTCGTTGTGGCGATAACACAAATTTTAGTTCCAAAAAAGCCATTTTAACAGAAACTTGTTTTGCGGGAACCGAAAGTACTATAAGAGCAAGTTTGTATAATTTTGGATATTCAAATTTCTTTGATTCCCAATATATAAAAACTATGATTTTTTTAGATTTATTAAATACAACTCAATCAAAAATTGGTTATTTAGATATTTTTTTCATACTAAAATATAGGAAATAGGAATGCTCTAATACTAATGAAGCAGTTAAATGATTATAGATCAATTTAAGTCATAGTGAAAAATTAATATATATCTCTATGGATATTAAACATATTCTGATCATTTAATAATTACAATAAAAGAAGCAGATATGGTATAATATGTAATACACCACAAGAAAAAGAATGTAGGAAAATGTAAATTTATTTATTTTATTTTGGCTGAAATCGGTTCAACCCGGTTTAACCTTTTTTATAAAGGTTCTTTTTACTCCTTCAAAAAATAATTACATCGGTTAATTACGGTTACGGTTCAGATATTTATAAAGGTTCATAACGGTTTAGCGGTTCATTCTGGTTCACTCCGGGTCCCTGTTGAAAATTGACAAAATTTGAAAACTTTAATAAAATCATTAATTGGCTTTTTATGTAAAATAAAAAGGTTTGAAATTGAAAAATTCTGATAGTTTATTTTTTATTAAATTTGCGAAGTCTCAGAAGAAAAAAATAATGATGTTATAAAATATGTAAAAGAGGTTGGGTTTTCAAAGATATTACTTTTTTAATTATCCGTGATCAAAATTTATATTCACGCCCAATCACGTTGGGTATTTTTTGAAAAAGTCGGTCATGCCCTTACATCGTTTGAACTTCAAAATTCATTTAAACTCAAGCGGTGGCCTGATGAGTCATGGATATTTTTACGATCCACGACGCCCACCTCTAATTCCGGGCTAGTTAGGCCAGAAATATCTTACACAAATTCCTCCGCCAAAAGATATTTGCACAAGTTACTAAGTTCGGCCTAAAAATAAGCTAGCCTATTCGATGATCTGACTTTCATGCGGAGTTGTCCTTGCAGATCTCTGATGTCCATCGATATAGTATTTGCCGAAAATTAGTTAAAATTTCCTTTAAAAAATATTTTAATTTTTTATATCTTCCAAATTGAGTTTTAATATTAGTAATTTATTATGCGTTATTCACCATAACCAATAATTTATCAAACACATATTTTTTTTAATTAAGGAAGATTAAAAATGTAAATTTTGACTTTAAATATAAACAGACTTATTCGGAAGACTTTCTTTTCTATAAATTTTTTTTCCCCTATTTTTTAATCTTAAGTTTTATTTCCGCAAGTTTTCTTTAATTTATTGGTGGAGTTTTTTCCGGGCTTTTTTTTAATACCTTTGTATTTAATTAAATGTAATGTGATATAACATCTAAATCTCAATTTTATTGTCCGATTTTTGCCGATTAGAATCTAGCCCCCCCCCACCTGCACTGTCTATTTGTATAGTAATAATGTCCCTTCGCTCCATATTTTAGATAACGGGTATAGGACATAGCTTCTGTTTGAGAAATAACTTTTTTTGATAAATTTAATACTAATTATTTTTATATGGCTTTTAAATTAAAATATTTATCGTCAATCAAATATTTGATAAGATAAATATTGAATGTTGTAATCAAAAATTTTTTATCAAAAGTTTAAATAATATTGTTTATTTTTTATTATATTTAAACATCAAAGAAGGCATTGGCATTTATAATTAGTTTTTAAGAAATGTTTAAGAATATTATATGACTATTTTATTTCGTGATAAATAATTTTAAAAATTTTTAAAAAAAATATATATACATAACCAAACTACGACACTCTGTGGCTTTAGTAATATGGGAGGAATGACAGAATTTTATTTATTGGATATGATTAGAAAAATTAATTGGGATCTCAGGCCAAATTGCATTAACCCAGTTCGATCAACTATTGATTGTAATTCCACTTATTTGAAATATGATATGGACGATGGCAATATATTATCATATAAACCATATCGACAAAGTTTATTTAATCGATTTTATTGCGAAAAAAATGAAATTAAAAATTTATCATCATTCCAGCGGCAGCTCGCATATACGAATTTTGAAAATAAAGTTCAAATTAAAAGACCTATATCGACATCTAGGAATATTTTGAATTTATCGATAAATGAGAGTAGTATAGCAGAAGAACAAGAAAGCGAAGTGTCAAATAAAGAAATAACCTTATCTAAGCCTCCTTTTTCTTATATTGCAATGATAGTTATGGCGATAAAAAATTCCCCAAACCATAAAATAACTCTCAACGGTATATATCAATATATAATGGAAAATTTTCCTTATTATAGATCAGGTCCCAATAAAGGCTGGCAAAATTCAATAAGACACAATTTGAGCTTGAATAACTGTTTCCGAAAAATTAGGAGGAAAAAGATGCATTATAAAGGCAAAAAAATCTACGAATCCTACAAAGGCGATGATATCAAAGATATTTTTATGCATGTGAGTAATAATAAGATAAATCAAGGATCAAACTCCAAAAAACCAAGGGTTGGGGGTAATAAAGGAAGCTATTGGACATTAGCACCAAACTGCGAAGATATGTTTGAAAACGAAAATTATAGAAGACGTAAAAGACGCACTAAGTTAAAATGTGAAATTAAGAATAATAGTAATGGTGATGTTCATTATAAAAAATCGAGGATTAAACTTAAATTTATAGTAAATCATGCATCCCAAAACAAAATAGTCTTACATAACAATAACAACTTAGAAGATGATCAAAAAAATGAGGATGTGTTATTTACAGGTAAATGTTGCTCTAGTAAACATAATATTAATGAATACGTGAGTGTCCACGATAGATTTAAATTTAATCCATACCATTTCAATGAAAAGGAATCGTTTAAAATTTCAAATTCACAACTATTAAATTCGGAGAATAAGATTCCACAGGAAACAATAAGAAAAACGGCTATATATTTGGATGAGTATAATAGTGGAAACAGTGTAAGGTCTAAATTTTCAATCGATTTTTTACTCAAAAATTAGTTCATCAAAATTAAAATTTATATAAATAATAATATCTGTAGACAAATTGTTTCCTTGACCTTATTAGATATTATATATTTATCATATAGAATATATTATGTAGTTCATAATAATGTACTATTTATAAAATAGTCTAAATATTTTTCTATTATGAAGCTTTAGCGGTATTTAGCCAATTTTTCACCATAGAGCACCTTTTTAACCTAAAGGATCTAATTTTATCAAATATATTTCAGCATGCGTACAATGCCTAGGGCAGTGGCGTATCCAGGATTTTCTTATAGGGGGGAAAAAATTTTTGGGGGCTTCGCCCCCAAACCCCTTTTACCTGGCCTTCGGCCAGCTTTCCCCCGGCCGAAGGCCGGGTCTTATTTAGCTATTCTATTAAATTATGAATAATTTAATAATAATTATATTTCTATTTTTAACTATTATTTACTAATTCGTGCTTATGGATAGGATATTACAAGCCTCTTTTTTATTATTTCAAGTTAGGTATATTATATTTAATAAAGTTTTTTTAAATGTAAAGTTGAAATAAAGTGTAATGTCATTTTTTTTATAAAATTTGCTTTAAAAACTAGCCTCAGCTTAAATTCTCATACAATATAAGTAGAATATAATTTTTTTATTGAAAATACTAATAGTAGTGTGTTTAATAATTAAATTAACAAGTTTTTTTAACTTTTTATCAAATACAAGATTTTTAATTATTTCGTTTGTCGTTGGAACCAAATCTTTGTGTATATTTAACAGAGCTAACCCATTTAGCCGAGATTCAGTACTTAGTAAATATGTTTTCAACCTTCTCAAGTTGGAAATCCTTTCATTCGTACATGTTGTAATAGGCAAACATGCAAGAATATAAAACAACTTCGAAATATTAGGAAATTGAGCTAAGGTTTTTTTACACCGATTGAGCGCATCAATAGCATGCTCAGATAAAATAGCTAAACGTATAAATATTTATACCACAATTCGAATTCACTGATTAAATTTATTTCAGTATCAATCTCATAGGAATAAAATTTTTCTAAATATTTAATTATACCAATAGTGCCATTAGAAAATGAAGAAGGATCTTTGGGTAATAAAACTTGAAGATTGCTAAAGACTTATTTTTTATCTAAAACCCGTACTTTTATTTGCAATAAAAAAGTATCTAAGAATGGGATGAAAATGGATATTTTAATTCTTCAGTTGAGCCAATATTTATTTACATCTCAATAATGGCCTAGGTGCTAGACGAGGGTTAATTAGTGTTATATCATAAAATTTGCCTTCGATTCAACGTCTAGATAAATATTATGAAAATATTTATCTACATTCATTCTTATTGTATCTACCTGTTCATGTATATTTTCAGCCAAATCAATAACCTGAACCAAATCTAAATTTGGTTTTTGTAAATTTCTACAAAGTAGTGAGCTAAAAATAATTTATTGATGCAACTAGCAGCAATGATAAACTCTGATTGATCAATTGAATTCAATAATGATATCGCTTCTGACGACACATTACTTTTTTTCATGCTCAGCCTTATTTATAAATTATTGATTTCAATCTCATTGACTAAATATTTTTCCATTTTATTAATATTTTTGAATAATATGTTGGAAAATTGATATTCAAATATTTGTAAAATTTTGATTGGTAAGAGGGGGGGGGGGGGTAAAATTTTTATTAGCTTAAAATGATATTTATGAAAATAGTCAAATTTGCAATGGGGGGGGGGGGAATTTCCCCCTTTCCCCCCATTGGTTACGCGCCTGGCCTAGGGTATCTATGTCCTGTCGGGCCCTAAAAGGCAAACCTATTTTATATACTTTGTCATTTTTAATCACAAATGTATCATTTTTGTTTCTTTTATTACTTTTATAGCATAGGTTTAGATATTTAAAAAAATTTAACTTTTTTTCAAAATTTTAGATTATCTAGGAAAACTTTTTTGGAAACTAAAGGGTAGACTGTTGCGGGAATTATTTGTAATATATGTTAAAACTCATAATTGCAATAGTTGTAGAACAGTTTTGATAATCTGGGTCTTCATATTCTAGTTTGCTCAAAAGTCTTTTATTGACATATCTGTCATGACGGAATGATTTTCATTCTTTACTAATCACTGAATTGAGATAAGTTTTCAAATTGTTAAAATTCCCCAACCTTTTTCTCGTGGACCGTAATAACCGCGATGATACTATCTAAGTGGGAAGAGGAAAAAGCTTGAGATGTTTTCTGTCTAAATATTTAGCCCTGTTCTTAAACAGGTGTGTAATCAATAAATGCTCCAATTTACCTCATAAAAAATATGCTAGATAGCACCTTGGCCATATAGCTGCATTTAATAAGCTTAAAACAAAACTTTTTCAGGAAATCCGCTTTAATTTCATTTAAATTTAAAACAAAGAGTCCAATGAAACTCAAAGAAGAGTTCCCTTTGCCATCCACGCACACACTTTTAATTGTGTATGAAAATATAAAATCATTGATTAATAGTTATAGTTATTATAAAATATTATTTATAGCAGAGTTATTAAGGAGCGGCACTAAATCAGGAGCGGGAGCGGGAGCTGGTTCCTTTTAGGGCTGGAGTGGAGAAGTGTCGCTCAACCGCTCTTTTAAATTTAATGTATAAATTAAATTATTTTTTAAATATTAATATATTATTTATTTGTTAATTAAAATTCAAAAAAATGAAATTTTATTTTATTTAAATTTATGCAATATTAAATGTTGACCCGAATTTTATATATCTAATTAGTTAAAATAATAAACAATCAAGTTTTTCTTTCTTTTTATATTGAAAATTTCTTGGAAAATCTTGTGAGTCAAATTAATATTCATTTTATAGATATGATAAAAAAAATAGTTTTTTTTATTATTGATCCAGACATCATAGAAGAAGAAATCGAAATAAAAAATAAATTATCTATTTAAATAACTTTCAAATGTTTAATGATAAAAATATTTTTGCGGCTATTATCCATCTTGCATTCAAATTAAATTGGGAATGATAAAAAATGCACAAAATACGGAATATAAATTAATTAATTTTTTAAGAAAACAAATTCCTAATGAAAAATAGCTACTAGTTTACGGAAACCCTGCAATGATTTGGAATATTTTTTTGGATTCCATGAAATTGATCATCAGGAAGATAATATAATTGGACAAATATTTTTTAAATAATGATATCAAAATAAAATTACTACTTTTGATAAATTTCCTGAATTAAAAAATATTTTTATAAAACAATACCCCGCTTCTCTCTAGCTCCTGTTGAGCGCCTGTTTAGTATTGCTAAACAGGTTTTAGAGCAGATGCGTGGATGTTTGTTATTCAAATTTAGAAAATTTATTACTTTTAAAAGCTAATTAAAAGATTATAAATATTTTGATATATCATTTAATATAAATAAAACTTTTTGATAAAAATATGATTTTGTTTTGTGTACTTTCTAAAAAAAATGAAAATCAAAGGAACGGCTATGAAGTGGCACTCCATTGCTTGGACGGAAACTAGATTCTTTTGAGAAGGTAAGAGCGGGAGCTAGCCATAGCATTAACAACTCTGATTTATAAATAATGTTAATGTTATATAAATTTAAAAATTAAATTGAATGATCCTTTTACAAATATAAAAAAATATGAAAAAATTATAAACAGTAACTTCTCGTCAAATTGGTATGAAAATGACAGTTTTGTGACTGAGAACCACGACTTTCAAAAGTAGCAAGCTAACGTAATTTTACTTTTTCAAAAAAATGTAGGGAGGTCGGAGCCAAAAAATTGGCTTAGGCTCAAGCCGGCTTAAAAGTTGGCTCAAGCCGGCTCAGGAGTTGGCTCAAGCCGGCTCAGGAGTTGGCTCAAGCCGGCTCAAAAGTTGGCTCAAGCCGGCTCAGGAGTTGGCTCGAGTCTAATTTTGAGCCAAAATTTATTAATTTAAATATTTTAAAAGAATATAATAAAAAAAATTTTTATTACAATTTATTAGTATAATTTTCATGTCATGCCCAAAATTTTAAGCAAAAAAATCTTTTGAAAAAGATTTTTGAACATTTGATAAGAATTTTAAATTTTCTTTGTAATTGAGGAAATTTTTTGAGAATTTTATTATAAATAAACAATCTTTTATAGTTTTTTTTTTTATATCTTTGTAAAATTATCTATTTTTATGTATATTAAAAGAATTGGTTTTTTCTAAATTACTTTTTTAAAAATATTTATTTGCTAACATGTTTAAATAAAACTTCAGTAAAGATGAACTCTATATAAATGACAATTGTCATAATCGTTATTCTTAAAGTTTATTGAATTTTTTTGTCGCAAATGGGTATAAATACAGGTTGTAAACATGTTAGATTAAATTTCAGTGAAGATGTACTATAGATAAGTGACAATTGTCATAATCGTTATTTTTAAAGTTTTTTGAATTTTTTTAATTCAAATGGGTAAAAATATATATTGTAAACATGTTAAATTAAAATTTCGTATACTATAGATAAGTGACAATTGTCATCATCGTTATTTTTAAAGTTTTTAAAAATTTTTTGATGTAAATGGGCTAAAATACGTGTTGCTAACATGTTTAAATAAAACTGCAGTGAAGATGTACCCTAGATAAGTGACAATTGTCATAATCGTTATTTTTGAAGTTTATTTAATTTTTTTAACGCAAATGGGTATAAATATAGGTTGTGTTGTAAACATGTTAAATTAAAATTTCAGTGAAGATGTACTATAGATAAGTGACAATTGTCATAATCATTATTTTTTAAAAATTTTGAATTTTTTAACGCAAATTGGGAAATTAACGCAAATGGGGAAATTAAAGCAAATGGATAAAAATATATATTGTAAATATGTTAAATTAAAATTTCATGAAGATGTACTATAGATAAGTGACAATTGTCATAATCGTTATTTTTTAAAATTTTTGAATTTTTTAAAGCAAATGGGAAAATTAACGCAAATGGGTAAAAATATATATTGTAAATATGT